TGAACCAGCAACCTCAACAAACTGAGCTACACTGGCTGAGCAATAAAAAATATGTCTTAAAAAAAAAATTACCCTAATGCAAACATTCATTATTTTCAGTTTCTGTGGGCCAAGAATATGGGAGTAACTTATCAGTTTTCCTGGCTCAGGGTCTCTCATGAAGCTGCAATCAAGGGGCCACCTCATCTGAAGGGAAGACCGTGGATGGAGGAGCCAATATGTCTCCCTCATGTGGCTGTTGCACAGCGAGGCCTCGGCTCCTCTCCAGGTGGCCTGGCCACACTGTGCTGCTTGGGCACCTTCACTTAGGCTGCTAACAACTGCTCCGCCCCCTGCACCTCCCAGTGAGTGGTTTCACGGTGACCAAGCAGAAGCCCATTCCCTCTGCTGCCCCTGCTCAGTTCTCTCATTCTTGCCAAGTTCTTGAAAATTCTAGAAACCTTCTATACAGACAGCATATTTTTTTAAATAGCTGTTAAATTAGTCTGCATGGGCTATCAAAACACCACAAACTGGTGGCTTAACAGAATTTATCTTATTTTTAACAGAATTTAGATAATGAAAGTAGTTCCAATTTCCTCACAGTTCTGGAGGCTGGAAGTCTTAAGATCAAGGTTCCAACAGGGTTGGCTTTTGTGAGGACCTGATTCCTGGCTTGCAGACAGCTGCCTTCTCACTTGATGCCTGAGTAGAGGGAGGAAGAGAGAGCAGGAGGGCTCTCTGGTGTCTCCTGGAACCATACTAATCCCAGGGTGTCAGGATCCCACCTTTCTCATCTCACTTAACCTCTACATCCTGAGAGGCCCCATCTCCAGACGGCTACACTGGAGCTCAGAACTTCAACATAGGAATTTGGGGGCAGGAAGCACATATTCAGTCCAAAACAGCCGTATATTTTTAACACAAGTAGTGGCATTCACACACCTTTCCACACGTACTTTGTTCATCTAAGGCTTATTTCCTGGATGTGTGAATGCATTACACCTTGCTCTGAAACCTGCCCTGCCTGGATGTGGGTGGTGATGCTGAAGACTTGGTAGCCTGATGGCTTGGGAGACCATTTAAGCAGTATCCTTAGTGTTGTTTTTGTTTGTAGTTAGATTGATATTTCTCAATGAAATGCTTATTAAATAAGTACCAAAGCATGCATTTCACTTCCAGTTTAGAGAACTTTGGTCAATAAATCCTTTCCAAACTACACATTAAAATGTTTATAAAACTCAAGCTTTTAAAAAAAGCTTTAACATGTCTAGCTTTCCACATCTGTGCAGCAAGGAATAATATTGCACATAAATGTAAGCAGTACAAAAATGTGGAAGTGGAGCAGTGTGCTGGAAATTGAATACAGGATTATAAGAAAGCAACGGAACAATCAAAATAGCCAGAAAAAAGGAAAACTACATTAGGAATTAGGAAAGGTGAAGAATAATACCCATGTTATGATATAAGTAGTTAATGAGCCCTAGCCAGTTTGGCTCAGTGGACAGAGCACTGGCCTGCGGACTGGGGGCCCCGGGTTCTATTCCGGTCAGGGGCATGTGCCTTGGTTGCAGGCACATCCCCAGTGGAAGGTGTGCGGGAGGCAGCTGATCATCATTTCCCTCTCTCTTCTTTATTTCTAACACTCTATCCCTCTCCCTTCTCTATAAAAAAAAATCAATAAAACATTTTTTTTTAAAAAAGTTCACTGCCTCAAATGCAGGGAGAAACAATCCATCAGGTACCACGAATAACCAAGGGCATCACATTCCCTGACTCAGTCACAGTAATTAACGGTACCGTACTGGCAAGAAACACACACAGATCAATGTAACAGAACTGGGAGTCCAGAAATAAATTCACACATTGGGCAACTATTGGACAAAGGAGCCGAAAACACAAAATGGAGAAGCCTCTTCAATGAACGGCTTTGGGAAAACAGGAAAGCCACATGGGAAAGAATGAAATTAGACTGCTGACACCACACACAAAGATTAACTTAGCCCTGGCTGGTGTGGCCCGTGGATAGAGCATTGGCCTGAGGACTGAAGGGTCCCAGGTTCGATTCCTGTTAAGGGCATATGCCTGGGTTGTGGGACTGATCCCCAATAGGGGGCGTGCAGGAGACAGATTCTCCCTCATCATTGATGTTTCTCCCTCTCCTTTCCTCTCTGAAATCAATATATTTTTTTTTAAAGGCTTCTGCATAGCACCAAAAACTATAAAAAAAAAAAAAAAAAAAAAAAAAGAAAGAAAAGAAAACCAACTAAATGGGAGGAGATATTTGCAAATGATACCTCTGATAAGGTTAATAACCAAAATGCAATAGGAACTCACATAACTCAACAACAAAACATAATCCAATTAAAAAATGGGCAGAGGACCTGAATTGACACTTCTCCAAAGAGGATATACAGATGGCCAATAGGCATATGAAAAGATGCTTTATTATCACTAATCACCCGAGAATGTTTAAACCACAATGAAATATCACCTCACACCTGTTAGAATGGCTATCACCAATAAATCAACAAACAAGTATGGGCAAGGAAGTGGGTAAAAGGAAACCCCCATGCACTGTTGGTGGGAATACAGATCGGTGTGGCCACTCGGGAAAACAGTATGCAGGTTCCTCAAGAAAGAATGGGCACCCTGTGAACACCGTGCTGAGTGGCATGGAGGTGCAGGCTGTGACCTGCAGCCTCCCTGCTGCCTCACCCACCACTCCCTGCCCACCACAACCCTGAGGCCTAAGGGTGGGTGCCCTCAGACACTGCGCCAGCCCCAATCTGCTATCGGTGTGTGAATTCAGAGAAACATGAATGGGTAACAACAGAAAATGGTACTGGAACAGTGGGAATCAGCAATTTTGTACAGGAAGCTTTGGGAGATTTTGTGTGGGCAGTCAGTCAATGATTCTCATCATTGATGTTTCCACCTCCCTCTCCCATCCTCTCTGAAATCAGTAAAAATATATATATTTTAAAAAAGAGGTAAAAGGGGTAAAATGCAAGATGACAGAAGGAGACTAGTCCTCAGGTAGTGAGCATATAATGGAGTACATGGATGCTGTATTATATGCCTGACATTTATATACTGTTGCTAACCAATGTTACCTCAAGAAATTTAAAAAAAAATTTTTAATCTAAAGGTGCTCTAACTGCTTTGGATCAGTGGATAGAGCGTCTGCCTGCGGACTCAAGGATCCCAGGTTCGATGAACCTTGGTTGCAGGCACATTCCCAGTAGGGAGTATGCAGGATGCAGCTGATCGATGTTTCTCTATCCCTCTCCCTTCCTCTCTGTAAAAAAATCAATAAAGTATATATTTTTTAAAACCTAGAGGTGGAAAAGAAAAAGAAAAATCTAGAGGTGGAGAGAGATGTTTACAAATATACTGTCCACAACTTGGCCACGCCCAATGGTTAGAGCATTGGCCTCCCACCAAGGGTCTGAGGTTAGGTTCCCAGTCAAGGGCATGAACCTGGGGTGCAGTCCTGGTTGGGTGCAAGAAAGGCAACCAACCCATGTGTCCCTCTCATATCGGTATTTCTCTTCCTCTCTCTCTCTCCTTTCCTTCCTCCCACTCTCTAAAAATCAACAGAGCCAAAGTCAGTTTGGCTCAGTGGATATAGCTTCGGCCTCCAGACTGAAAGGTCCCAGGTTTGATTCCGGTCAAGGGCACGTACCTTGGTTGTGGGCACATCCCCAGTGGGAGTGTGCAGGGGGCAGCTGATCAATGTTTCTCTCTTATCAGTGTTTCTAACTCTCTATCCTTCTCCCTTCCTCTCTGTAAAAAATCAATAAAATACATTTAAAAAATAAATAAAATAAAAAATAAATAAAAATAAATGGGAAAATACCCTTGGGTGAAGATTAACAACAATAACAACAATAACAACAACAACAACAACAATAAAATATATCCTACCTAATAAAAGAGTAATATGCAACTTGACCACACCTCTGCTACACCCACAATCACACCCACCAGCCAATCAGAGAAGATGGCTACAGCCAGAGAACAGGAGGGAGGCTGAAATACTAATAAATTCAGGTATGGATACAAATAGAATATCTAAGCTCAAAGTATACCAAGTTTTAATACAATTTCTTCTTGATATCTTAATACTTTTTTCTTTTTAAAAAAAGATATATATATTTTTAAATATATATATATATATATATATATATATTTTTTTTTAATATATATTCTATTGATTTTTTACAGAGGAAGAGAGAGGGATAGAGAGTTAGAAACAGCTGCCTCTTGCACACCCCCTACTGGAGATGTGCCCGCAACCAAGGTACATGCCGTTAACCGGAATCGAACCCAGGACCTTTCAGTCTGCAGACTGAGGCTCTACCACTGAGCCAAACCGGTTTTGGCAAAAGATATATTTTTATTGATTTCAGAGAGGAAGGGAGAGGGAGAGAGAGATAGAAACATCAATGATGAGAGAGAATCATTGATTGGCTGCCTCCCTGCACACCCCCTACTGGTGATCAGGCCCACAACCCAAGCATATGCCCTTGAGCGGAATCAAACCCAGGACCCTTCAGTCCTCAGGCCAACACTCTATCCACTGAGCTAAACCAGCCAGGGCAATACTTTTTCAACGACCTTAATATTCTGGGGGGAGAACTTAATTGTTAAAAATAAAACAACTACAAAGCCGAAACCGGTTTGGCTCAGTGGTAGAGCGTCGCTCTGTGGACTGAAAGGTCCCAGGTTCAATTCCGGTCAGGGGCATATACCTTGGTTGCAGGCACATCCCTGGTGGGGGTTGTGCAAGAGGCAGCTGGTCGATGTTTCTCTCTCATCAACATTTCTACCTCTCTCCCTTCCTCTCTGTAAAAAAATCAATAAAATATATATTTTTAAAAACTACATAAAAATGAAATACATTTAGAATAATTTAAACACAACATAAAAGGGGCATGTCTCATTTGGTCTCCAAAATGGCTTGACACAACACAGTTTGCTCAATTATGTATTTACTTAAAATTTTAACATGCTGATACCCTGCATGGGACATGCATTCAGCAGTTCATTCCTGCTGGGTGTTCAAAGGAAAGTGCGATATAAATTCAGAATTGGCATCATTGGTTTTCTCGGCTTTGAGAATGTTAAACCTGGTAATTTCATTGATATAGTATTAATAATGGTTTGCATTTTATTCACAATAAATTGTTTGCATTCATTTTGAATTGTTAAAGTATTGTTTAAATACCTTTCGTTTTGATGAGCAAGGTACTTGGCACCCTCCCCCCCTAAATTTGGGCCCCAGGAGAGCTGCCTCCCTAGCCTCATTAGCTTGCAGGGACTCTGGCAGTGTCTGGGGCCATCTCTGCTGACCATATCTCAGGGTTCTCCTGGCATCAGTAGGTGGAGGGCAGGGACACTACTCAACATCTCACAATGCCCAGGAAGTCCCCTTGTCCCCCTATACACAGAGAATAACTGGGCTCCTGATGTTGAGGGGGGGACCCTGCCATAGAAAGTCTTAAAGGTTCTTCATACGGCACCTTCTGGTTTAATTTCTGGTGTTTTTTTTTCCCATATGGAGATGGGCAGGAGTGGGTGTCTGCTTGGGGACTGAGCCAGCCTGCCTGGGAAGGGGGGTTTACTTCAAAGGAGCAAAGTGCAGGGAAGGCCCAGCTGAAGGAGAGAAGCATGGGCAGCCGTGGCCCTCCCTCTTGGGGTCATGCCACTCTCCTAGTCAGTACACAGCCTCTGGACCAGCTGCTTGGGTATGATTCCAGCGGCCAAGCTTGAGCCAGATTCCCTGGGAAGCATGTGAGGAGAAAGTGGGGGGCACATAGGCTGTATATTGGTTCCTGATATCAAAATTATGATCCAACACCACACATCCATCAGAATGATTACTATAAAAAACAAAACAGCCGAAACCAGTTTGGCTCAGTGGATAGAGCGTTGGCCTGCAGACTGAAAGGTCCCAGGTTCGATTCCGGTCAAGGGCATGTACCTTGGTTGTGGGCACTTCCCCAGTAGGGGGTGTGGAAGAGGCAGCTGATCAATGATTCTCTCTCATCGATGTTTCTAACTCTCTATCCCTCTGTCTTCCTCTCTGTTAAAAAACCAATAAAATATATATATTTTTTTTAATTCCAGAAAATAAGTGCTGGCAAGGATCTGGAGAAACTGGAACCCGTGTGCACGGTTCATGGGAATATGAAATGGAGCAGCTGCTGTGGAAAGTAGGATGGCAGTTCCTCAAACAACTAAATGTAGAATTACCATCTGACTCAGCAATTTCACTTCTGGATTCCATTTCTGTATATACCCCCAAAACTGAAAGCAGGACAGGGATAATCCTGGGGACCTGTGACACAGGGGGTGGGGGTGTTGTTAATATTTTTTCCTTTATACGTGTTCAAATGGCTTCACTGATTACAATTAATGTGTTGTCTCTATAATTTTATTTTTTAATATATATATTTTTTTATTTTAGAGAGGAAGAAAGGAGAAACATCAATGATGAGAGAGAATCATTGATCTGCTGCCACCTGCATGCCCCCCACTGGGGACCAAGTTTGAAAAACCTGGGCATATGCCCAGACTTCTTGGTAAATGGATTGATGCTCAACCACTGAGCCACGCCATCTGGGTTTAATTATATTTCTCATATTAAGCCATGTGGCTCAGTTGATTGGATCCTCAACCCATACACCAAAAAGGTTGCAGGTTCAATTCCCAGTCCTGGCACACAGCTAGATTTCGGTTCCATCCCCAGATGCAATCAATTGATATTTCTCCCTCTCTCTCTTTCTCTCTCTCTAAAAAATCAATAAAAACATATCCTCTGGTGAGGATTAAAAAATTAATTTAAAAAATAAAGCCACAGCCACTGGAAAACACGTCTAGCAGCTTAGGACTAGTTAAGGCCGGGGTCCTGGAGCCCTGGGTTTGGGTCTGAACCCTGCAGACAGAAACCTGAGGCTTCAAACCAGCTTTGGAATCTCAACACCTCCCATTCCATTCAGGGTGCCCACCTGCTCACCTGTCTATGCAGCTACACCATGGAGAACCCAGGAGGGAAAGGGATATAAGAAACCTTCACAAGTTGCACTCACCTGCAGACTTTAAACAAATGACACCTGCCAGCTGTGGGCTTGGGTTGCCCCGCCCAGGAATTGCCTCCAACCTGAGCATGAATCGCGTGGCCCAGAGTTGGGAAGATACCTGTTGAGGAGAACCAGATATGCGGATTATCCGTTTTTTACTCCTTGGGTGGGTCTGGGGCCTTCTCACGCACATCCTCCCCACTCACCCAGAGCAGTGGTCGGCAAACTCATTAGTCAACAGAGCCAAATATCAACAGTATGATTGAAATTTCTTTTGAGAGCCAAATTTTTTAAACTTAAACTTCTTCTAACGCCACTTCTTCAAAATAGACTCGCCCAGGCCATGGTATTTTGTGGAAGAGCCACACACAAAGAGCCAAAGAGCTGCTTGTGGCTCGCGAGCTGTGGTTTGCCGACCACTGACCCAGAGGGCTCTAGGACAGCAGTCAGATCCAGCGGGCTCCGGCCACAGCTGTCCTCATGCCGTGGACCGGCCAGGCTCTGCTCCGGGGGGGACAATGAGGCCGGGAGAGGTACTGGTGGGGCAGCGCCACCTGGACTCTCTGGCTGGGGATGGGAAGAGGTTATGGGGAGGGGGACAAAAGGAGGGCAAAACCCCCAACCCACAGATAGTGGCGGACCAAGGTGCAGGCGGGGGGAAGGAGGCGCATTGCCAGATTCTGAGACGTCAGAAAAGCGTTGGGTGGGACCCGGAGTATGCAGCGGGGTGGCCAACGGCACTGGCCGGGGATGTGGACACGGGTGAAGAGGCTGGACGCTGGGAGCCCGGGAGACAGCGGCATAGAGGCCCGCCACCGGACCGGCATCCTGGAGCCCATGCGGGGTCGTGGTGACAGGTGCAGGAGGGAGATCCCTTGGGGACGGAGCAACAAGCACACAGGACGCGGGGGCGGAGCGCGCGAGCCTCGTGCAGCCCCGGGCCCCAGCCCCGCCGCCCCGGTGTGGAGTGGCGCGGTCGCTGCGGGGCGGGGCCTGCGCAGCGCTTGCGCACCACGCGGCCCCGCGCGCGCGGGCGGGTGGGCGGAGCGGGCCCCCCGAGCGGGGGCTGGCGAGCGCGGGGAGGGGGCTGAGAGGGCGGCAAAGCCGGCGCGCGCCCGGCTGGGGGTGGAGGGTGGGGGCCTGCGGGCCGGAACAGCCACGGTAAGTGGCGACGGCGGCGGCGGCGGCAGCGGAGGCGGCGGAGACCGGGGGTCCGGGCGGCGGCGGCGGCGGCGGCGGCGGCGGCGGCGGGCCGAGGAGTCGGGCGCGATGGAGCGGAAGAGGTGGGAGTGCCCGGCGCTCCCGCAGGGCTGGGAAAGGGAAGAAGTGCCCAGAAGGTCGGGGCTGTCGGCCGGCCACAGGGATGTCTTTTACTATAGGTGAATGAACGTGCTAGCAGGGCAGGGCCCCAACGAGCGCCTCCCAGCGGCCTCTGCGGCGGCCTGGGCACCTTGACCGGGGCCGCGGCCTGGGCCCCCGCGCGTGCGTCGTGCGTGCGTTTCGGCGCGCGACGGGCGCCCAGCCCAGTGCGCGTGCGCGACCGCGCACGCGGCGGCCCCCCAACCCCCAATCTGCCGAGTGCGCGTGCGCCCCCAACGTGGCCGCATGGCACTTGCAACGGACGGTCGAGCGCCGGCCTCTCTCCGGCAGCCATGGGAAACCTGCCAGAGGGCCGAAGGGCGCCGGCCGGTGCAGGCCAGAAGTCGCTGGGAGGCAGGGGTGGGGGCTGGGCTAAGTTTTCTCCGATGGGCCCGGGAGGGCATACCTAGGAAAGCGGGCTCCTGGGTTCCCTGGACAGCCGGGCCTCAGGGGATGCGTGTCTTGAAGGGTCACCCTTTCCGATCTTTGGGCTTGTTCGGAGAGCGGCAACCCCGCTGGTCGTGTATCCTCCAGTCCCAGAGACTTGAGACTTTATGAACCCGCCCAAACAGAGCCCAGCCTGTTGGTGGTGGTGCGAGGTTTTCAGAGTTCACCTCCCCAAAATTGGAAGCAGGGGCTGCCCTTAGCCTGGGAGAAGTGGCCAAATTGCCTGAATCTCCTCCGTGGAACAAAGGATTCGTGGGAGGCTTGAAGCCCATTCCCAGACAGCAGGCCACCTGCTGTTTGCCTTCTCCCTCTTTTTCCCCCTGACTGCTAGAAGGAGCTTTTGTTTCTGAGCCAGCTTTGACGGTTCCCTCCCCTTTGCTTCAGGTCCCTGATGAAAGAGCCGGCAGGACACCTGCCTCCTGTTGAATGCCAGCTGGTGCTGGGGGGTATGCAGCCTGGTGTGGGCCCAGAAACTGGCTGGGTGAGGCCAAGGAAAAGCAGAACCAATGCTCCATCCTCCAGCACTGGGCGGGAGGGGAAGAGCTAGGCTTTTGCTAGCCCCTTTGTGGAAGAAGGAGGGAAGTGAGCTGGGAAAGGATAGTGACTGGCCCGGGACAAGCTCAGACTCTAGTTTCCGGTTTCCAAGAAGTGCAGGGCAGCGATGGGAGCTAAACTGGGCTTCCGAACGTATACAGAATTGGCTGGAACCTTTAACTTTCTCATTGACATAGTGGCACTGCAAAAGTGTCTCTTAGGGACACATGTGCATTCCTCTTTGCTATCATTTACTGTAAGGTCACTGCCTCACAGGCTCTGGAAAACCTAAATCCTGGGTCAGTGGGGAGGCTTCAGAGTAGGACCATGTGCGAGGCAGGTCTCTCTGTTTCTAGTCCTTTGATAATTTAACATCTCTGCAGCATCTGCTGGGTGTCTGGCACTGCTGGGTCCTGGCCATTCAGCTGGGAGTGAGACCCGGGCCCTCCCCTTCTAGGTGACAGCTGAGGCACCAGCCCTCACCCTGTTACTCCCGGGTGAGGTGGTGACATGCTGAGAAGTGCAGGATCTGTGAGTAGGTGCCTGGCAGAGGCTGGGGCAGGTCAGGGAGGGCCTATCTGAGGGGGTGACATCTAGCTGAGCCCTAACAGTGAAGAGGGAGGAGGAGCAGTCCAGGCGTGGGGACACCAGAAGCCTGTGCAGAGGCCAGTGGCAGAGAGCAGTCTGCAGCTCTGGAGCTGAACCAAGGCCAGCATGGTCAGAGCACCCT